CTAAACGCCCACCGTTCGGCCTGCGTGCAGCCGCGGCAGCCGGCTAGAAGCTGTTTCTTCTTTTAACAATTTATCCCGACGCACCTTGTTTTGGAGCTCCCAAAGCAGTGAAGCTGCTAATAGATTCCACACACAATATCTAAGATTGGAATGATTTCACGCCAGCTGTTTCCCTTCTAAGGAGAGAATACGATGAATATTAGAGAGCAATATTTGTGCTTTTCTGATTGTGCTGTTTTGCACCGAATAACAATTTTGATACTCTATGTAATGTAATGAACATCACACATCAGCATCACACAATCTACATCGTGCAATATTTAATGAATGACGCCACTGATTGTGATATGACTTTACAGACCCCGAATCGGGTGCTCATTATAAATGTTGACGGTTTGACATCTAAAACGCCTTATGGGGAATGGCAATGTTAGCTTAGCATAACAACCGTAAACAGGGGAAACAGGGCTACATCCAAAACGAAGCAACCGTTATCAATCCCACAAAATATGACTGTTGTTGTGTGATTGTTATTTGCACATACAATGCAGCAGCACCCCCCTCGGCCCCCCGGTGAGTGCACGTTGACGACGCAGTGCAATTAGAGGCAGGCAGCGCTCTAATGCCGCTGCGATGATGAGTTCTCCTCCGAGAAGTGCCACATCATCTCCCGGGGGAGGCTGCATAGGGGGGAGAGGCGGAGGGAGGCGGGCGGTGGCATATTGGCGACGGTATTTGACTTGTGTCTCGCGTGCGTAGTCCACGAGTCGCTGGGAAAAACTCACCGACCTCCGTGAAGAAGTGAGGCCTCGCACCTGCGGCGAAACGCCTCCCTTTATATAACCCTGTTTTCACGGGCACTCTGCATTCTTGTGAAACGAAGCCAAGAGGAGGATCCGCGCCGGCAAATTAGCACCTGTATCCCACACGCGTCCTGCGAACCGGGGGGAGATGGAAGGAGCGAGGGCAAAACAACGAGATCAGCCAACGGGGAAGGTGTGAGCGAGCCGCTCTAATGTGGAAATGAAGGCTTTAATTATGGATGAATACATTATCGGATCAAGGCTCGGGATCCGCTCTCCGGCGCGCGTTGTGCTGGGAGATGATACCAGGGGACGCCACGGACCCCTGTGAATATCGCTGTTTGTTTACGCACAAGTGCGAGGTCAGAGTGTGCTTTCGCTCTATTTTTGAAGGCGGCTAATTGAAAACCAGCAGACTGGAGTTTACTACATTAAACCATCTTTTCTGTCCTTCCATTACATTTGTATCCGTAGGAGTATTATGGCGGTAATAGTATCTATTAACCATTAAGTAGTTGTCTTATAATTCATTTATGTAGAAATATAACTAATTGTGCTATACTCCATAAGGATTCAAATTGAATTCTTCTCTCGTATCCAGGGGCCTCATTTGCGTAAAACGCCTCGTACGCACAAAAGAAGGCGTACGCCGCTCTCTACGCAATAATTGGTATTTATGAAAAGCAAACTTGACGGAAAAGTGTGCGGTCCTTCACGCAAGCTCGGACACATGCGTACGCACAAAAACGAGTGAAATGAGAACCGTCGGCAAATGGAAGAAACACGCAAACGTGTGTGAAAGTGTGTAAAACTAGACTGTTGTGTAAAAGAAATGCCAATACTGCCTCTCATAAATAACACAAACCCGTTTGATCGATCTGCAGCGTAAAACAAACAGAAATACGAATTAACACATTTTCAAAAAGAAAAGTGAAATACGTTCTGCAATAATATCGGCATGTTATGCAATTCATCCTCAGCACAGCTGTTGCTTGTCAGATGCAATCAAACGGACGGTAATAAAATGCCATGATGCCATCACAATGCGTAATGACGCGAAATGGCTGATCCTGCGCTCTCAGAAGATGTGGCACATGGAAGGATTCGCGCTGTAGTGCAGCGCATCATCGGCCTGTTTAAGCGCAGACGGCGCTGCCTCGGCTGCACTGGAGGGAGGTTGTTGTCTACGGCTGAAAAGGTGTGCAAAATCGTGCTGGAATGTGCTGTGCTACATAATGTGGCACAGCTTCCAAACGTGCCTCGACCCCCCTGACGCCGATGTTGGCCCAGTCCCTGTCCCCGATCCCCGTCTCTCATAAAGAGGGGACAGCTCCGGTGTCCCCTTTCCCCCACCCGTGGCAGACACACTTTGGCGATGGCGCGCTAAACGCTTTTTTGCATCCACTTTGATGTCAGACCATTTTTTCTTTATTTCGGCCACGGTCCGAGGTTGTGAGGCTGCAGCGTTGCTCTGCAGCCTTTTGCCACTCAATTGCCTTTTTGGCATTAGTAATGCCCATACTGTGCCCTCCAGAAAGCATTTAACTTCTTCTTTCCACCTCGCCGAGGATCATTTTGACTTCACACTGAGTGAAGTTACGCTTCTTCGTTTTCCTCTCAGTGTTTGTCATGATTTCGCAATCGATGAATATTAATTTGTGGGCGTTCCACAGACTCTATATGGGCAACTATGGGCGTGACATAAAGCCGCAAAAGCTGCGCAGCATTTAGAAGTGATTTTTTATATTTCTGTGCGTACGCACGGCCTATGTTTCATCCGTACGCCACTTCTGGCGCAAATCCTACAGAAGGTTTTATAAATGACGTCCCAGGACCTTTACATAATAGGGATTGGCCCCCGGTACATTTATTTATTTAAATTTTTCTCGGGCCCCCGCCTCACACACAAGCGCTCGTGCACACCGGCATGCACAGAAACACACTACCACTCCAGACAATTGCAACTGTCTGGAGTGGCTCGCAGTGTAACTTCCAGCCTTTTGATCAGCACCACGGACAGCACCCAAAGTGCCACATGGTTCAACGCTGATTTACCACCCGGCACCCGGCGGTCAGATATTATCACTGGGCAACATTTCCCGACGCACGAGAGGTGACGATTGCATTTGAAATCGGCGCTTGGAGCTGAAACGCCCCCGTTTCGACTTTAATACAATCATAATTGCAGCCCCACCTGCGGATTGGTAGCAGCGGGCTGCTGGACAGCTCCGTGGGAGATGAAGCGCTCCAGCCACTGAGCCATCAGTGTCAAGAGTTTTCACAGAGTTGGGCTGAGGAGTTGTCTCTACGACTAGTCTCCTATGGAGAAATGACCAGGGAGCTGATGGTTTCCTACCGGCTAGTTATGCTTTATGTTTATGTTTCTCGTATGTGTTTTCTGTTTAAACCAAAATAGGAAGATTAGTATTTTTTTCTGCAGTCGGATTTTCTGATTTTGTGTGCACAGCTGCCTTCTTTGTTTGCGTGATACAACAGAGCTTCGTGGTAAACGAATCAGTGAGGACAGAGAGGGTCCAATGTCAACGCAGATGTTCACCTGATGCTGTAGGAAATGGTCGGGAGAACAATTTCATGTGCCCCGTGCGGGTCGATGATTACGCCACAGATCTTATCCTCAAAAACAGAAGCATAATACTTTTAGCTGACAGCTGAAGGCTTTACACCTTCCTGTGGAAAACAAAACAGTGCCCATACTGCAATAGCAGCCTAACCAAGATCAATACGGACTCCACACAAAGAAATTGAAGAGCACTTTCATTTTAACAAGCAGGGAAAACTAATGGAGCCAATTGCTTTGACTCTGTGAAATTACACTGTAGGGAGCGGGAAGTAAAAAAGACTAATTAAGCCAGTAAATTCTCTGCAGGGCTTTGGATTTTCCACCAGCGCCGTGCCGGCCACAGGGTTAGAGTGCGGTTTAACCCCACAGACCCACACAAGGACAGAGACCCAATCAGGGGAACCGGGCGGTGTCTTTTTGATTGACACCAAGTTAAACGAGATGAAAGAAGGCGGAGCTCAGGAGGAATTTTGAAAGTGGAGAAGAGGCGGGTTGTGTGACGAGATGGCGGTCAAAAGTTCTCTGCCGTTCCTAAAAGAGCAAGGTCACCCGGGGAGGAGGGCTGGAGACACACTCGGGCCTTTCAAGAATTTATGGCCATGTATTGTTGCGTCTGTGTCCCCGTGAATGTACCGTATGGGGACGCGACCAACGAAAGGAGCTGTCGCAGCTGTCTAGCCCAAGGTTGCTGCACACTTAATTAAGCAGCTCATTAGCAGTGATTAGATGAAGGAGAGCCTTGCCATACCAAAAAACAACAACAACAACCTGACCTCTTTGGGCCACAACCACGTGAGACAAACATCTGTTTTGGCGCCGTCTGTGAAAACTAAGGCCTGAGGACACGGAGCTCTTTTTCCTCATCATTCCGGTCATTATGCCCAGTGTCAGTCTTTGAAACCAAACCCAATTTAATAATCTTATTTGATTAAAATAATCTGACTCTGTTGGCTCGTGGGGGAAAAAAACGGATGCGTCGTTACCGGTAATGCACGTCTATTGAATTACACGTTGAGGCCTGCAGGACAGTGTGCTGTTATGCTCGCATGGGAATAATGCATAAACACATGATGCGTGGGATCTGGTACGTATATGCTTGAATCAAGATATGCATTTTTAATGTGAATATAAAAATTGATGGATAGGGTGCAATAACAAATTCTTTTTGGGGGGGCTTTTGTCTTAATTCCTCACAGTTTGCGTGTCCACATTTTCGGCACCTGGCACCTACTGCACATGATGAATTGAAGCAATATCATTCCTTATTTTGTTTTTTTTCCATCTGACGACCGTCTCTGCATCTTTTTATGCAACCGCCTTTGGCTGATATCATCGTATTATGCACGTTGGCTGGGTTTCTATTATGTTGAATATGGATACCACTGTGCAAGGACACTAGGAGCATAAAAAAAGAACCATTGTTCTCTGTGTTATTTGTTCGGCTTTAATGTTTTTATTTTTTTTGAAAGCGGAGACCTGAATAGCAGTTGTTAACATTATCATGTAAAGGGCAGTGACACTGACATTTGTTCCCATACACGCATGAGCAAACATAGACTTTTGCATATGTGTCGCCTCTATTAATCTCCTGCTGTCTCTCTTTGGTCCTTGTTTAGAATCACAGTGCACACTATGTGGTGAACCAGAAGGTGAGTGGGCATCGCCGTTCCCCGATAGCTCTCGTCGTCGTCGTCGTCGTCGTCATCAGCCGGCTTCTGGTTCTGCTGCTCGGAGGGGAGGGGAGGGGGGGGAGGTGGAGCGGGGGCGACGCCGTCCTGCAAACACACCGTTCTTCAGTCTCCATCGTCTCAACGGGCCGCGCTGGGATTTAGGAACCATATCAATCACTGTACATTTTGCATTATGTCATGCCGCTTTATGCAATGTAGAGAATTCTGAATGAAATCATTCCACAAATGTGACCCCAGCAGGCGGCCATCTTTCCGCACTTACTCTGACAGCATGAAGGCTGAAGGACGCAGCTTCACAGCGCTGGATGAGCACACTTGCCTGTGCTTCACATCCCACCGAACGTGTCAATTTGTGAAAACATCTCATTCCGCGAGTGTCCATGCACTACTGACACTACCGCCTCATTCCTCATAGCAAATCACTCCGATATGTCCCCATCCATTCCAATGCTGAGGGCAGAGTCTTTCTCTTTGCATGGATTGCATTTTGAGGGACGATCGTGCCTCTTCAGTCCCTCTCCTCAGCCGCCGCCGGTGATGATTGCTCGAGCGTTTCGTCTATTGTGTGCTGGTTTGGTTTCATACGGGTGTCCGCTGTCACTGACGATCCAGCAAAACAATTGCGACCAGAAAAATACCGTGAGATACAACAGGAGCTGACAGCTTGGGTTGCATGTTGCAGTGAGAGGGGTCTATCTAGATCTAACCCTTGTTCAGTGACAGATGATATCCCCCCCCCCCCCCCCTGGACTTAACCTTGTCCAGAAATCAACCATGTGCCTCTAAGTCCAATACGCATTATTCCATGTCTAAAAAAAAATCAATGGTGCTTCCTCCGCTTTGCCTGATTGGATTAAGACGTAATCAAATCAAGCGCGATAACTGTGTGCCTGTGACCTTCCTGCGGAGACTGGCAGAGAGCGGAGAGGCCTGAGGGGAAGGGCCGCGAATGTGTCTGCGCTTGCTTGTGTGTTGAAACAGAGCTGCCTCCATGGTGTCGGCCCATGTTGTTGGTCTGGGCCACAAAGACACAGGGAGAAGAAGAGTGGTGCTTCTAATACCTCCAGAGAGAGACCAACCCTGGATAGAAAGAGAGACACTGTGTCTGTAGAGCTCGGTATTGAACCCCCGGAGCCCTTTCATTTATTTAGGTCGGACATATTTAACAACCTCTCAGCGCTAAGACGACGTTAGTCACATCTCTAAGGCAGCTTTAAATGGCCACTTTGGGTCAGCAGAGGAGGGCATCACTATATTGACTTGATCAGCTCATACAGAAGATCTACTAAACAGAACCTATTTCACATCCAGCAGATATGGTGCAACGTGAGGATTATCCTCGGCTTTTGGTCCCCACCAATTCCCGTGGGAAATATCTGTGTTTCTTTAGGAGCTAAATACTCCCCTAGGTGTCTTCGGCAGGTAGCGTGCAGGGGATTTATCTAAGCTTTTTTTGTTTGCTCCTGCCGTGCCGAGAAATGAGGCTGAGGAGAGCCGAGTGCAGACTCCAGGGACGTTTCCATGAAACCGGAGAAAATGGCTGAAAGATGCTCAAATACTGCGTGGAGCTGAGGAGAACTGCAGAGCCGGAAGGTTATTCTGTGTCGGTGTGTTACAATGGCTTAATTGTCATTTTAGCCGGTGTTTAATTGTGGAGTAAACTTTTCAATGTATAAAATAGTACCATACAATAATGTTCATTAAATCTCAGGCATCATTTTGTCACCCGTGTTCAAAATCTGATTACATACTCAGCCCACACATCTGTGTTTGCATGGCTTGTCAGGGGGATTGTCGGAGAAGAACCGAGCGCATTTACAAGTCAAACTGAGGCCTTATTGCCTGCAGGTAATTGGTGTCCTGAGAGGGCGACAGAGAGGAGATGTGTGAAGGAGACGGATAGAGAGAGAGAGAGAGTCTGATGTGCAAACATGCACATTCGCACATCTGGTCCCTTTGTCTCTGCACAGAATGCTGAGCCGGGGGCAACGTGTCCTGCTGGGACCCTCGCCTCCACATCCCATAATGCATGCACACAAAATAACACGCAGCAAAACATTAACGATTGTGGGGCGCTATCTTAGCACGCAGCATGATATGAAATAGATATTTATGATTTGGGATTGTGTCAGGGGACTTGTTTAGTGAGTGAGTGTTAAAAAAGTGCAACTGTAGTTTAACGAATGTTTTGCCTTGAAGGTTTTTCTCAGTAATTTGTAGTCATGCAATGGATCATAAAACAGCAAATATAACTTTTATGGATACCGCATCTGGGTTTTTTTGGCCTCAGATCTCATCTACTTATTTATTTTTGACAAATACTACATTTTACAAGATTACATGTTTACAGCTATCTCCTGTCAAATTAAACAAAGATTCATTGCAACATCATCCGGGGGCGATTAACCGCCGATGTCCCGATCGCATATTTGACTGACTATCGGTGGATAACGATACTGCGTAAACTTTTATTTCACACTGTGATGGGAAACGTTGTAAACTGTGTAATTAATCATATCGGGGGGCTCTTGAAGAATATTGTTTTTTAGCTGACCTTCTTTCTGTGGTAACAACAATATTTCCATAATGCATCCATGGCCGCCATGTTTGGGTGGTTTGGTAAAATGGGTCCTAAATTTTTCCCCATGATACAAATGAAGACAAGAGAGAGACCCCAAAACGTGGAGGCTATGTGACATCAAAGAACAGGGAGACAAATGGGAAGACATTACTGCATGACAGCGATTATAGAACAAGGACAGGTAGGACAAGGAGGGGACACTTTCGTTGACGGGACGTTCACCGAGCGGTCTGGACTCCCCTTGAATGGGACCCCACGTGTTCAGACCCCTGAGGTGAAATCAGACCGTGCCCTGTGAATACGTAACCGTTCATGCAAATTCCAAACGGGTCTGGTCGAGGTCCGACACTCGGCTTTGGTTTTCTTTGGTCTTCTTTTTGAGGCAAAACTAGAGCTGCGTCCTTCAGCTGACTCGTGGATAGATTTACTCACCAGCGGCAGACGTCAGAGGGAGCATTCCATCACTAACCAAACCGCCGCCGAGACCCTGAACGCCGCTGCGAGGGAAAAAAAGAAAACGGTCGAGGGTGATGATTATGATGGGTGGAGGAAGGTGAAGTGTGTGGGATGAGTGAAGGGGGACCTAGAAGGACAGTAAAGAAAGTGAAGGGTGAACAGAATAATTCCATTTATATGCCACTAATCTGTTTTTGGTGGGAAACATAACTGGCGCCTGCATTAGGTTCATCCGATTTATTCCCGTAAAGTGCCACAGGCCTCGTGCACAGTTGGTGCAAAAGAATGAATAATTGTCCTTGAAGTCTTTAATTATTTTATTGGTAATGAACTGAGACCATGATCTTTCCCAAAGGGCTGACTGCTTGAGCACTAACATAACACAGTTGAATCCTCCTTTACTTGGGATCAGCAGATACTGTGAAAAATGTGTAACATTGAACATCAACATTCTGCGGTCAGAAAAGTTTTTTTTCATTTTGGTGACAAAAAGCCTTTGTCGGCAGCATATCTTTTCCATGGAAACGTCAGGATCGAGGCGGGAGAACGGAGGGCGTCTCGGATACTGTGGCTAATATCATTACGGCCTAATGCGTATTTCTTCCGGTGCCCAGAAACATGGTCGCATAATAAATTGAGACATGGATTTTTTAGTTTTCAGAAAACCATTTACATCGTATGTTGGCCAGACAAATAGGATGCGTGCCAGACCGCTGGCCAAGGTCACTGTCCAATGCAGAGGAGGCGTGTTGGTCGCTGTGAGGGGAGTACTGATGCTTTTCATCATACAACACGGAGGCTCCGCAGCCATAATGAAGCCCTCTCTGCTTCTGTAGGTTCCATATGTGATGCTTTCTGGTCATTTACTGAATAAAATGTAAGATGCATAACATAATATTCACCTTAATTGTATTAATAGCATCAGTTGGATGTTACCAAGCTAAGAAGACTTAACTTAGAAGTTATTTGGCTGCAGAAATGTTGAATTGGGACAAATGTCTGACGTCTCTTTCACTGTGCACGTTAGTAACTGCGAGTTGAAACCGTCGATGCTTGACTTGGTGTATATATTCAGTGAACCTTGCACCCTGCATTCGACACGTCTCTCCGCTTAGGTCCCGGCCCGCGGCTCCACCAGCCTTCGGGCCAGCAGACCTGGCTCAGCTCCACACACCGTCCTGTGCACACACAAGTCAAGTGGCCGAGCAAGCCTGACGGCTAAAAGTGCAACAACGGGGCGCAGGTTCCACGCTGTGCTCCCGGGGGCTCAGTGTTTGAGAGTCTTGCAAAGCAGAAGCTTTATGTCCCCGACAAGCGCGTGAGAGAGAAAGTGAGAAAGAGTGAGGAGGGAATATAACATCTGAAGATTGGCTCCAGCTGCTCAGTGAAGTGGGATTAAGAAGCCGGGCTATTTAAACGACGGGTCTTGCAGTCATTTTTTTTACGGCTTATCATCAAGTAACCAAAGTTGCTCTCTCAGCTTTCTCGAGGCCTCGTTCTCTTTGGACACACACACACACACAGAACCACAAAACCACCACTTAGTGCCACTCAACACACACTTTTCACACGCTTCAGTCCCCCGCTTTGATATTTCTATACTTAATATTACCCTTTAGAAGATCAAATGGCTCAGGGAGGCACTTTTAGTGAGGTATGCAACATATCAACTCTTATCGGGCCAACATAATGAACGAGGCAAAGGGGAGAAATGTTTGGCAGATAGCTGGCACTTCCCTCAGATATTACATGTCATCTAATCTATCTTCCATTTGAGTGCAGGCATGTGGAAATTGCAGGGATGAGTCTGCTCCGGGGATCGAACTGGAACAGCTCTCTCTTTCTTTTACTCTTTGCTCAGAGTCACTGGGAACGCCGAAATCGGCGGCAAGAGAAATGAAGAGGAAAAGATACTCTCACC